ATAATCTATTCTAAGGAGTTTTCTAATAAGTACGTGTCGATGATGAAGTCGGATGCAAGTTGCTTTGCGGAATAGCATAGATCCAACAGACCCAGATTTTAATGACTTTGCCGCATAAATCTGTCTTGACTTTGAGTGAGGGCCAGGGTTATATTGACTTTGAGTGCATCGATATTTTTTGGCGTATTGGAAAAGACGTTCCACTCCAAAAAAACACACAATAAAGGGCTTGCTAGGATTAAACCGTATATCTGACATACCAGATCTTTGAGTAGATTATAATTTATTGAAGGGCCTTGTTACCTCATCCGCTTCATTTCGAAAAATGACAACTGACGAAAGCAGTGACTACCCGCTCTTCAAATACAACGTGATGTCCGTAAAGCAATATCAGACGAATTACTCTCGAAAAGACTGACAAGCGTAAAAGAGTTTATTGTATACGCATTTGTCTCTGCGTTGATGGATAGCTAAACATTTGTATCTTTATGTAAACTGTTCCACAGCTACTGTCTGTTTTCACTTCTATTCGACGTGTGAGAGATTGCTCAGCATTTGTCCGTCCGCTAAATTGCATTTTGCGCATGCAAGAGAATGTTTTCATCACTTTTTGTTTTTGTTTGAGAATTTTAAGAATTTGCTTGAATTTGTTAACGTTGCAGTAAAAAATGTAGTGAATATGTTTCATTAGAGAGGACCTAAGGGTAAAAAAGTGCGGCGAAGGGTTATTTGTCCAATGGAAAAGGGGCTAATAGTATTTAGAATGCTTGTAAGTAATACTGGGAAACTTGGCAAGCTGTGAAAATCGAATAAAGTGTTAAAAATAAACTCGTTAGTCATCGATGATTTGTAAAACAATAGTGGTCCAACTTTATTCCACGTGATTCAAAAGACGTGGCAATATATTACAAATGGCTAGAAATATCCCATAAACACAGGTAAATTGTTACCCAACATTGTAGTAGTTATCTTTGATCCTCTACAGAAGAGCAACGCAGAATATCTTCCAAGCGTTTGACTATTTTGAAACATTTATTGGTTCTAGGAATGATGTATTTAATTTTACAAGAACCATTTCAACAATCAGATCGTTTCAGACTATTCTTTTTGAACAGCAATTGGTTTGACTACTTTTGGTAAAATCCTCAATTAAATCTTTTCTACTTCGGAGTTACGCTAAGGTCGGTGAAATTTGACAATGAAACTTGCATGTAGTGTGTGTGGTATAGAAGAAATACTATCCCACCACAACGTTATTGGAAAAATATTTTTTCCATTTTCAGTCAAGCCAGTCCGTGTCAAACAAATTTACAATCTTGATGAATGAACGTTTTGGGATACTTTTGTTGTTCTCTTAATGGCACTGGTCGATGACCAATGGGCCAGATTATTACTTCAGTGTCACACAGAGTTCATTAGAACAATTATTACATAGTTTTGTTTTTTTGACCATTATTTTACTTTTTTAGATAGTTTTTTATTTTTCCTTTCTTCAGTCTTTTTTTGCAAGATCGCACAACAATTGTTGTCATTGCTGATTTCGTCTTTTGTTTCTTTCGCCTTTTATTTCTTTGGTCTTATTTATTGTTTTCTTTTCAATTTTTTATATTTGCTTTTCTATCTTTATCATCAAATTTAAGGTTTTTTTGCCATTTCCTTTTTCAAGATTGCACAACCACTGTTTAGCCTTTTGTGCTTTCTTCCTTTTTTATTTCTTATCTTTGCTGACTTTATAGTTATCTATCTTGTTATCATTTCCTTGTTTTCGTTTATCTTCTAACAAATTTTTATGAAAAATCAACATGCTTTTTACGAGGTGAAATCGAATTCTTTTATTGATATGAAGATTGGTTTATGCCATTTATGTATGAAAAATAACATCAGTCATGTGACCACCGCGGCTTCGTTTACAGGCCAACATCCGAAAACCAAAATTTTCAATGACAATAATCGGGTCTATGGTCGCAATCTCAGTCCGAATATTGCGCTTTTGGACTTGAATTGTCCAGGGACCATTCGCTTATACTTTGCCTTTCAAAAATCCCCAACGAAAATAGTCAAGAGGTGTTAAATCGCACGATCTCAGGAGCCAACTGACATCTGAATCTCGTGAAACTATACGGTCTTGAAATTTCGTTGTGCAATAAGGCGATTGTGTGAGCCGTTGCTCCTTCTTGATGAAACCAAAGATCGTCGGCACCAATACGATCCAATTGTGACCAGAAAAAGTCTGTTAACAAGCCGCGATAACGTTCCCCGTTGACGGTAATGGCCTTTTCTTCGGAATCTTCAAAGAAGAATGGTCCAAGGATGCCACCAGCTCATAATCCGCACCAAACAGTCACTTTTTCAGGATGGAAATGTTGTTCGTGATATTGGTGTGGATTTTCAGCCCCCCAGAAACTGCAATTTAGCTTATTTACGTACCCATTGAGGTGTAAATGAGCCTCATCGGAAAAGAGCACTTTGGCCGAAAATCCGTCTTCTCTTTTCAGCATCCAGTTAACAAAAAAAACGCCGCTGTTGATGGTCTGCCGGCTTCAATTCTTGTGTTAGTTGGAGTTAGTATGGATGGAGGTGTAGATCAGTGTGTAAAATCCGGCGTGAAGTGGTCTCACTAATTCCCAATTGTTGCGAACGGTGCCTAGTCGAGGTGGTTGGATCTTCTCGCGAACTCACTGCGGCTGTGTTTTCACGAGTACGAGCTGGACAAGCATATTGGTATAGTCTGCGACCTTCAGCTGAACCAGTTTCCTCAAAACGATTTACAATCCAGCGAATTCCAGGCTCTGTAGGGCGTCCATGTCGGCCAAGACTAGTGCGAAGTTTGCGAAATGTATTTTTTATATTAAGACCGTTTTCGTAATAAGTTTGGATAACCAAAATGCGTTGTTGTGTTGTAAACGAATCCATGACTATAAATGACATACCTTTTACAGTTCATTTATGCATACCACATGACTTGTGACTCACATGGTAACACATTAACTTATAGGTAAAGAAAAAGTAATAGATGGTGGTATAAGTATTTGGACAATGTAATGATCTTCATAGTATCCCACTCTTGTTTTATGATAGGGCATCAAGGTATGGCCACTTCTTAGTTCTACTTGCAGTTATAATAAAATGGCGACTTATGATTATTTGCAATCATATCGTTAACAACTTTTCTGTTATTTTCGATGCGTTTTATCCTCTATAATACTTACAATGTTTTATAATCACCTTTGTATATGCAGATTACATCACTTCCTTAGAAAAATGTCCACTTATCTATCCACACCTTCATCATCCTTACCCAAGTAACGGAAGCAACGGCACAATGCCCCGTCAGTCTCGCAACGAGGATTTCGCTCAAAGGTTAAAAGCTCAACTTTTAAAGCAAATTATTCCAAACGGACTTACAAGCGACTAATGCATGCTCGTCTCCAGTAAGATAAAAACAAGAATACCGTTCCATTATTGCATGCTGCACTACAGCTTAGAGCAACTTTGTGAATGTTCCCACATTAAAATCAATTTGTCTAATTCAATTCTAACGGGTATGGTGAGTGGCGAAAAAGTTTCCCGCCCATACCTAACAAAGCAATATCGCACGGCTGCCTTCGGAGTGAAGGGACGCTGAAATGGATGCAGAGTCGCCTCGTCATAAGAGGCTCCACAACGATTAAAAACTTTCAGGATTTGCAGTATATACTAAGGCTGGGCCAAATCGCTCCCCATAATGATTTGATGCCGTGGTGTCGATTCGGATCCCAAAACCGATCTCTTTCTGTATATTCTGGACCTCTATTCTTGAGTTTGAGGAACTAGAAATTGTGAGAGAAAGTAGCCAAGAAATGCAGTATTCTTGAAATCAATTCCACCGGAAAGTGGTAGAAATGAATTCACTTTAGGGAGTCGCGGTTTCTCTTTGTACCGACCAAGACAAACTGGAAAAATTAGTAGAAAATAGCGCTACATAATATAAAACTTTATGTGTTTGGCATTGTTATTGTCATTCCTGCTAAACATATTGAAAAAGATGGTTAATTTCAATGACTTGATGTATTGGAACGATATTATTCACGAGGAAGTAGAGGAGGCAGTTGAGGAATGGGAGATTGGGAGAGATATTCTTGGGCACCAAGATCCTTTCATAATTGCGGATCGAAAATTTGTACAGATGTTTAGGTTGACCAAAGATTTGGTGTATGAAGTTCTGGAGATATTGGGTGATATGCATAAAGGTGAGTGGGTGCTCAGAAGTAGCGACTCCATATTGCACCGAGTAACTACTCCTGTTAGGGAGAGCTACTCGGTTTTGATATGCATAAAATATTTGTCGAGACACGGAGAGGCTACTCAAGTGCTAATGAAATACTTGAGTAGGCACTCTGGTTTTCGAGTTCCGACTTGTATTTTGTTGTCTCGCCGAATTGATTTTCTCTATTGCGAGCAGTTACTACTGTATACCGGTAAACGTTTGTGTCGGTGGTGTTTAGGTCGATTATTATTTGTTCATTTACATGATGTCAACCTATTCATCTGAAAATCAAACAGTATTTGTTAATATAATTAAACAGTATCCTGTTTTGTCGGAAAAATGTAACATCGCGGAAATCAAAAATAATGGACGTACGGCGGTTGAAGAAACAAAAGAAAAGGGCAGATTTGGAAGAAAATAAAAGCGAAGACAGACAGAAATCGAACCGGAAACAAACCAATAAAACTGAAAGGATGGGAACAAGAACTGTTCAATTTTCTACAAGGTGAATCAAATCCTAGTATTGCTCGATTGCAATTTTGGTTGTGTATTTTTTTTGTTTTTCCATACAGTAGGTATAAGATGTGATTGAGTATAATATATATATATATATATATATACGTATATATATATATATACATGTCAATAAATATAAATGGCATATATTTTGAATTTTGGGTGCTGGTGTGGCACGTTGCCTACCAGAAAGCGTTGTTTACACTCCAACAGCCCGTGCTGAAGAAGAAACAATCACCGAAGAAGCATCTGGAAGTTCAGGACCAGTACTGAAAGCTACCACAGTGAAAGCCGGGCCCAGTAAGGAGCTTTCTAAAAAAAAAAGGAAAACGAGCATTAGTGGAAACCGATGAAACACGAGATTTATCAATAACAGAGCTCCAACGTCTCGTTTTACTTGAACAACTACAAGTGTTTCGGCTAGCTAAGGAACTGCTACTTCACAAGAAAAACATTAATGAATATGATCCAAATTTATCAACTTTAAATGAAAGTGCAGAAACTGGAAATCCAATTTTCATGAGCCTATTTCCAAGACAGAACTGACAGAAATACTTCATGTTCCATAAATGTTATTTTTTATTAATTTTGAGAACTTTCTCTTAAGTTACCATTTTGAAAGTGTTATTAATTTTGTTATGAGTGATTAAACATCGTTCTTCAACGTATATCTACATAATTTGTAAATTTTTCATGCTAGATACTTACTTAGACCCGAAAGTCATAAATAATTCTTCATATTGCATCTCTTCTAAATTGACCTCTCTGACGTATCACTCCTTCTGCATAGTCAGCAGCATGATGATTATGGATTTCTTCTTGTTCGCCATCTCCCGGTATATCAACAGCAAAATCTTCATCATTAAGGTGCTTACCCACATTATGCAAGATAAAACAACTTATGACAAGGGAGGGCACTTTTTCTGTATCGACGCGTAGAATGGGAAAACGCTATTTTAGTTGCCCGAAACATCTCTCTATTATAACTCGCTCTCTCGTAAACAGCCGATTGTATGATCTTTGTTCTGCTGTTTCTGCAATTCTAAAAGGAGTCATGAGCCAAGGAACTATACCTTACCCAGAGTCTAGTCTAGCACTAGCACTTCTGCACTTTCGATCACAACAAAGGCAAGAGTAGATATTAAGTTATAGTCACTCTTTAATCTATGATTGAGTTTTCCCTGGTGCATGTGGGGTGCTCTCGGCGAAATTCATTTCGCCCTTTTATTTGTTGATAAAACTATAAGGAGGAAATCTTGACCAAAATCTTTGATTAGTTTTTGACTGTCATTATATCCATTTTGATTGGTTCAACACGTTTACTCAAACCTGGCAACCCTGTGTCTTGATTTCCTTTCTCCTTCCTATCGAGTCCTTTCAAGAATACAGTATTTTCGAATTGATAGATAGCCGGGGGAGTAGAAAAATAGAGAAAGTGTGATTTTCTATTAAAGTTTAGAATAGGGTCACTGGACAGGAGGTAAAGCAATTGCTTTTGTCTCAAATCATGAAATAACATTCAAAATGGTTCATCTTACCATTTTTGATAATAGTAATATTGGGGAGCTTTTTGATAATCAAGACAAAATTCAAAAGTCTAAAATATACCTTATGAGATAAAAAACATCTAAGGTATTGTTTGCACAGAAAAAAAGTCATTAAATGTGAGCTCCTTGATTTGTCTTTTAAATCTGATAAGTGGTAGTGTTTGAAATGCTAACTTTTTTGGTGGATATTTGGGACTTTTAAGCAAACTTAATAATAAAGTAGTTATAAATGACCACTAAATATGACATGAATGGTTTCAATAACAGATATTTTCATAAGGGTTATAGATTTGCCGTTCCATGAAATTGAATTGGATGTTGAATCAAAATTTTATTGGATAAACAAGTTTTTGATTTTAGTCGCACAAACCGTGTCTCCCTCATCTGCGTAAATGTACTATCCACTATTTTGATAATTCATTTCTAAGTTTGGAAAGGAATTGTCATGGGAAAGCTAGAAAGGCTGAAGTTAAAATAAGAAGATGGGATGGGGCGAGGTAGGGAGCAGGAAAAGAAGTATAGATCTACAATTTTTGTCGCTAAGGAACTAAAACGTAGATCACGAAAAATCGTGTCACTTATTTCCGATGGTCTGTCTATGTGTCCGCTAATCCTTGGCCCGTCTTTGATTTGGGTAGTGCTGCTCGGGTTTGGATGAAATTTTTACCCAAGGTTGCTGTTGTGTAAAGACCGAAAAAGACTGTAGTTTTTTAATCGGTTCAGTGGCGGCGGGAATGAGACCAAAAATGAAAAAATATATAACCGCTCATCTTCGATTTTTGACGTTTCTGAGGATTTTGGTCATTAAAGAAATGTTTATGGTAAAAAATTGTGTGGTTGGAGGTTGTAGGTGGGTGAGGAAGGGTATACCTCAATTGTTGTATGTTCGCTTTTTTATATTCTTCAGTAATTCTACGCACCTATTGACATATTTCAAACGTCATATAATTACCTTCATAACTTGAAATGATGCAGGAATGCCACGCGTCCCTCTTTCTGCTTTCTGTGTTCACTGGCGGTCGTGCCAGTCTTGGTTAGTGTCCTCGCATTACTGACGCGCCTGACACGTCATGCAGTCAGGTATCGCGGAGAGACGGCACTGTCAAATAGACGCTACTACCGAAGAATATCTATGAACTAATTATATGAGGCTGTTTGAACTTGTGCTGAACATAATCCTTGACGGACTGATGACGGCGTTTCCTGAGAAGTGTAGAGTCGACCTACTTGACGCCATTTTTTACTAGAGACCTGGTTTCAGCACCTATATTCCGAATCAAGGATCACGTTTTTGGAAATTATCTTTCAATATTACAAAGCAAACGTCTCATGGTTTTGGAACATACTTTTAGGTACTTTTCGTTCCTCTCTTTTTCTCTGTGACTTTTCAATGAACGCCGCTGAGGTGTATTAAGGTTCAGAAAGGAAAGACGTCCGTGTGCGTGCATCTTTTCCGCCGTGACAGCCATGAGGGACGTTGAGTGATGGCGCGTTTACGCGAAAACTTGCACTTGACGGTGACTGGTGCGAGGGTTACCGACAGAGTCGGTCCCATTAATTATGTGCAGTCCCTTATTTTTCTGATATACTGTTCATATAGAGACTATCAATTAGGACTTTACAGATTTCGCTTTTGGTAAACAAGATACAGGGTGATACACAAAATTGTCAGGAAAATTGACAGCATTTTAAGTTATAAAAATAAGTTCATATAAACATAGGTTAGGGAGTTCCTCATCTTGATGGTTGAAATAATCTGTTTTTGATAGTTCGTCTTACATTTTGCGAAAACTGGGATATTCAGATGAGTTTTGGTATTTTTGTAGTCACGGGCGGGCCAAAGTAACACTACCACTATCCCTTTATGTATCTCTATCTCCCTCATACATACACATGCAATCTACCCCTGTGTGTGAATGTTTTTTCGGTAAGCTCAGGCATACATTTCTTAGTTGTGTGTCTCCGTCTCGAAAACTTTGTCGTTACTTATGAGTGCCCTTCAGTCATATTTGTCAAAAATTCAAATTACTTGACATCGGCGTGCCATTTGATTTGTCTTGTTGTCAATCTTCAATATAAAATTGTACAATGCCCGGAAACACTTCATGCGTCCTGGAGAGAGTAGCAGAAGTGAAGAATAACTTCCGCCCATGGTACGGAGACTCGATCTGTTTACTTATTCCGTATGGCCTTGATGACGTAACCGCCAAGAACGGTGACTACAACTATACACATAAAATAATTTCAAAAGTCATATTATAACATGTACAAACATTTCTTAAAGCATCAGTGTGGTTCGTGCCGGCAAGTGACAAACTACTGGTTTTCGCATAAATATAGCGTTAGCAATAATAAAACCTCATTACTGGGCATAATTTAAAGTGCCAATAAATATATAAACTATATACATTACTTAAAATATTTGACGGAAGCAATGACTAACGAAGATTTTTTTTTTAGTTTTGCTGTCCAGAATTTATTTGTCTAAGTATAATTTCCGGAATAAAAAAAACAATATTGTATAAAATTGTGTACAATGGTTTGTAAATTTTAGACACTGGTCAAGAGATATGCGTGAAACTCGTATCTTAAAAGCATTGATCCTTCTTGAAAACCGCCTGTTTTTCCTTCAGATGCGCTGTTCCTGGAACGTAGCAATTCATTAATCGACCATCAATCTGTCTACCGTCATTAAAAAGATAGTAATCGAGCGGACACTTTTTTAACAAACAAAAACTTTAAGGAAAAATCAGTACGTCGTCGAAACAAGATTACTTGCAAAATCCAGTAACGTACAATATTCTTCGCTTATCATAAAGTGTAAGCACCCGTATCATAGAAGCGGGGAATTTCCGGCCCTATGTTTATATGAACATTTTTATGTTTTTACGTCTAATGTGCAATTAAATGTTCAAGACATTTGTATATCCAAATCAAGCTGTTTTTTTTATTTGTTTAACTGTAATTGTCATTTGATGGCCTTTTTATCATTTCGTTGTTAAAGTATCAACTGATAAACAGTGAAAGTAAATTAAATGTATTTGCAGACACGCCTCAATATTGTGTACTATGGCCAGTTAAAGGTAAGTCGTAACTGAAGGAAAAGGTAAGACTCAACTATGTGGGCTTCCTTTTAATGCGGAAATAGACAATTCAAAGAAGCAAACCTATTTAAACCAGCAGGGATGTTACACTGTAATAATTTCATAAGACTCAACAGACTTACCCCGTTTAATATGCAGTTATTATCCTTCCTATAAGTATGGATATTTTTATACTGTATACGGTGGAAGGTATTTCAATTTCAGTAACGTAGGTAGGATGATTTAATTAAAATTCCTCGAATGAAGGGGAGATATTGAAGCGTTACAACTTTTTGTTCATTCCATGGAATTTAGTGCAGGCACTACGATAGAAAACCAGGATAATATTGGCTAAAATTTTCTTCTGTCATAGATGTTTCCTCTAAAGGTAATGTGAAACTTTATTTTAAGATTGTATGTGCAATAAAAGTCCAGTAAAGCAGCTGTTATACAGCCGTTTACTAAGAATTAGCTTAAAGCCGCGGACCAGCCCGCGTGGAAATAGTTAAAGAATAGGTCATAGGTCTTGGATTAGTTTTGAGGTGGCTAGCTTAAGATAACGAAATTCAATATTAAAAGTAATGCAATAGTTATTTTGATAAGAGGTATTTTTTATTCAACATTTTACGAATAGACGTAAAAATTTGTACACTTACTGATTTCTATCCGAGAACGGTTATAG